CATTCTTTGATGGTGTGCTGCTACTCTTGTATGAATCGTGTTGAATCTATCTTTGTTGTTTTGGGTGCTATACTGGAGTCTTAATTTCCCCAAAGGGCACTCCCAAGGGAAGAATAGAATAGAATAAAGTTCTATCTCTCTATGTCTAAGCAAAAAAAAGTACAGTATATAAATACTTAAATATATAATCAGTTTAAATAGTTCAAATAAACAGATACATAGGCATTTCCCAGCAGATATAATAGTGTATGTGTTACAACCAGATTTATGCAATCAGTATTTCTAGAGTTGCTATACATAATATTAGATAGGATAGATAGATTGTGTATGTTATTCGTTCCTACCCTATGTTTTTTTAATACGCTTGTGTCTTTTTAGGAAGAACAGTGTAAAGACACATGAAAAGGCTTCTACTGATGAGGTCTTTGAGGAGGAAGACATGGAGACTCCTGCAGACGAGGCATCGGAAGATGAAGGTACAGTGGACCCCCTAGATACGAGTTTAACCCGTTCTACAACAGCACCAATGTCTCGATCCACTTGTATCTAGATTGAATTTTCCCCATTTGAAATAACTAAAAAAACAATAAATTCGTTGCAGCTCATTACTTTTAACACCTCTCTAAACATCAAAACACAGATATAAAAAAATATATTAATAATATAAATTAATAATAATAATTGAGATAACATTTTATATTGTTGTTATAAAAAAATAACCAAGCGAAGGACAGTGAGCGAGACGACAAAGTGTCGGGACCCTTTTTTAAAATTTGGGTGGAAAAATGGAGATTGGTTGAGCACTCGTAACTAGACATTTCCTCGTATTATGAGCAAAGTCTTGCTATAGTTGCATACTTTTAACATGGAATACTGTAATTTTCGGATTACGTAGAAACCGCTACCTTTTTTTTTACGTGCTATGATCTTGCGGCTTAAACAATGATGTTCATAACGCTAGCGGTCAATGACTTGACAATGGCTACTGTGTGTTATACTAGTAGCGTATGTCTGTCTGTGAATGGCCATGTGCGTATATGTGCATGGGGCGCGCAAGAGAGAACGGTAGCGAAAGTTGAGAGAAGTTGAAGCGCTGTCATGTTGAAGTGTGAGTTGGTTATACAGGAGCTGTTAAAACTCTGTTTATGTTCTGTTGTGGTCGGTGTGGCTGATAATTAAGACCCCAAGTTCCCTGTTTCTGTTTACCTCTGCTGCGGACGAGCACAAGGTGAAGGGAGTTAGCCCTGGAGCTAATGTTAGCTTCAACCCTGGAGTCTCCCCCGTAGATTCCAACTACAGTCAGGGTGCCAGAGCAGGATAAAGCTAACATGTAACCCGCCGTGTTACAAGACCTGTTTGAAACACATCTTTTTTTTTAAATTTAGATGGTGTGGCTTATATTCAGGTGTGCTTAATAGTCCGGAAATTACGGTACTTGTATTTTGGGACGGGGTCCACTGTAGAATAAATCTCTTAACTTGGAAGTGTATATTTCCATATTTATCTCTGAGTGTGCATACAAAAGCACCATTAACAAGAAAAAACTTCATTACATTTCTACAATTAAATTTAATTATGAAACTGAAATCAATGTTGCGAGCTGTAATGGTCTATCTCTAATATGTGTAATGTTGAATACGATTAGGCATTTCCGTATAATATGCACTTTCTGCACATTGTTAAGTATTTCTAATGCCTGCTAAAAAAAAAAAAAAAATCTTAATTTTTGCTTACCTTCTTACCTTATTTTACTGTCTTTTTCTCTTTCCTTCTCAGAGGAGCTGGTACCCAGTAAGTGGGGACTGGTGATGGACCGGCTGCTGGATCTGTCGAGAAGATTCTCTGACATTTTGACCAAAATTCAAGTTTTTCTCTGGAGGCTTCTGGAACTTCACATCCTAAAAATTGTGGCCTTTTTCTCTGTGTGGGTGGCTGTTCAAGAGGTAAAACCTCCCTGATTTGCCACACAAAAACAGGAATTGTCACTTATATTCTGTCATAGTTGTCCTACTTGTTACAATGTTAAAGCAGTGATTTTCAATTTTTTTTTCTGACATGTCCCCTCCCCTTTTTTCTACTCAATTTATGTCATTCAATTCAGATGAGTAAGTCACAAGTAAAGACTTTTTTTTATGATCTAGGTCAGGGGTGCCCAAAAGGTAGAAGCTTATAACCCTGACGTTTTGGATTCTACTACACAGAGCATAATATTTTAAGGATTTCAAGTACATAGCATATAAATCACGCTTTTTTCATCCTTTGGCTCGGTTTGGGACATATATTAAAATATATGATTTCACAAGTGTTTTTTCACACTGACAGCCACTAGAGGGACTCTAGGCTTGTGTACCCCCAGTATCTGTTACTGCTGTACCACTGAAAATGTACATGTTTGTTATTTTCACACTGATAGTCGCTAGGGGGCAATCTAGATAACTGGTGCGACTTATACTGCACAGCGACTTATAATGCGGAAAATACATTATTAGTACATTTTTATTATTATTGTTTGTTCCGTGTCTTATATCTAATTACTTTGTGTTTCTAAAATAATGTTAGCAAGTGTATTTTTACAGTACTTGTATATAATGTAATCCAAAAGATAAAAAGTAAAAATAGAGAAAAGATAAAATAGTACACTATCAATGGCCTATAGGTGTGGAAATATAAACTTTTTTTTTTTGACTAAACAAAATGTCAGCCGAGATGTCTGTCAAGGGGTGTTTTGTTTATTGATAAAATTGTTCAGCGACAGGTTCTTCGGAATATAACTCCAGCATCAAATGAGGACGAGCTGTATGTTCCTTCATGGCACTCATTTTCTGCTGACTCACAGCCGCTGTTGATTCGATCAGTGCTGTATATGTAATTATTGGTGAAATTGCAGTTCTGCGTAGGATAGGATAGAATTAGGAATTTCAACTGAAGAAATAATATCATGTAATACTTTTAAGTTTAATTGAAAAATTGAAATACTCTTTTTTTGTTTGTTTGTTTTGTTCTAAGCCATCAGTGATGAACCTGGTTCTGGTCGTGTTGTGGTCCCTAGCGATGCCCTATAGTCGCTTCAGACCCATGGCTTCCTGTCTGTCTACAGTCTGGGTGTGCGTCATCATCGTTTGTAAGATGTTGTACCAGCTCAGTGTTGTCAGCCCTTTGGAGTATTCCAGTAACTGCAGCATGGTAAGACCACAATAAAGAGACAAACAATTCAAAAATTAGGTAGAAAGTAAAGCTATAGAGGCTGAGGTCATAATTGGAATGATGCTTTCACATTCACCAAAAGCTATATAGGACAAACCCATGTTTCACCACGTTTCCACCAGCAGGTCATGCCTAAACTATATACACCTAAGTTGAATTTCTCTAATTGGACTACACCGATACTCAAGTTTATAGAAGGCAGGTTTTTTCTGCATTATTAATAAATATAGAAAAAAAAAAATGGCATGATGTAAATTAGCATTAAAATATTCTTTTCTACTGAAAGGACTTGAATTCGTCTCTTTTATAGAGACAAAATGGATTCTGACCTCACAGAATTGGATCAATTGTTGCTTCAAGACCAGCAGAAAATAATACCGTGTGTACTTACATGTACATTAAAAAATGTACATGTACATGTACATGTACATGTACATGTACTAATTAATTAATGTACATGTACATTAATGTATTAATGTAATAATGTACATTAATTAATTTATTAAAATTAATGTATTAATGTACATTAATACATTGTAATTAATTAATACATTGTAATTAATACATTGTATTAATGTACATTAATGTACATTGATACATTAAAATTAATGTATTAATGTACATTAATACATTAATACAATTAATTAATTAATTGATATTAATACATTAATTAATGTATATGAGGACATTTTTATGTTACTTTCAATAGTTTAATATGTCATATATTCCATGTTTTTAATTGATACATTGAAAAATATTAGATTTTTGAATTGAAATTATTGATATAAATAATTACACCATAAATACCAATAAAACAATGTTTTATAAAAAAAAGTGTTTTACTGATGGATTGCTCACCTGTTGTTATTGAGGACCGCTGCTTCTTTTCATAGCCCTTAGTGAATGAAACCAAGCTGTTACCTGAGGAGAAGGTGAACTCGTCTCTCTACAAGGAGCCAGTGGACCCAGCAAACTGGTTTGGCATCAGGAAGGATGCTACAGTACTTGGATACAGTAAGGTGTGTTCTTAATCATTTGTCTTGTTTTTATTTTCAGCTTGAACTAGAATGCATTGCTTTAGCCTGTTTTAATAGCACATATGAAAAATCTTGAACGAAAAAGACCGGAAATGTCAATTTTTTGCAAAATTCTCTTCAAATTTTAAAGATGCTCCGTTTAGAATATATTCACAGTGAACCTCTAAAATTCTGAGTGGTGTATCTCAAGCTCCATTGTGTGAAGTGTGTTATGAACAGAGGTGTGGACTCGAGTCACATGACTTGGACTCGAGTCAGACTCGAGTCATCAATTTGATGACACTTGACAAAGTGTAAAGAGACTTGCAACTCGACTTGGACTTCAACATCAATGACTCGTGACTTCACTTGGACTCGAGCCCTTTGACTCGACAAGACTCGATACTTTCTCCAAAATCCAAAGTGATCTGTGTAAATATATTATTATTTTGTTTAAAAGGACTCGAAACAGAAACGGCAGGACTTGGGACTTGACTTGACACTTTTTAGTCTTGACTTGGACTCGACTCAGACTTTGCTTGTCTTGACTTGAGTGCAAATACTTGAGACTTACTTATGAGCAAGGACTTGGTCCCACCTCTGGTTATGAAAAGTGTACAGATTTAAAAGCCCAGACAATCAGGAGTGTGGTTGGATTACAGAAAAACCCTGAACCTATGATTTGTACATATATTTATTGAGCCTTTGTGTAATAAGTACATGCAACGTTTCTTTTTATTCCTGGCCTAAAACGTATTCTTTTCTGTTCTCAACGCAGAACCATTTAGTTGTGCTGATGTTGTTGGTCTTTGAGGCAACAGTGTATCGTCACCAGGCTCATCACTATCGTCAGCTCCAACGATCTCCCCCCACTGTCCCATCTCTGTTCCCTGCGACCATCAGAGTCACTCTGGACAAGGGGCTCCTACCTTGTTTCAAATACTTCCTCAACTACACCTTCTACAAGTTTGGACTAGAGGTAACCATCATTTTAAAAAATGATCCAATTCATTTGACTTTGTATTTTTTTATCTAAGCATTTGCCACTACACGCAGTCATTTTTTAATGTGACTGTTTCTGGTCACCTTACACTTGTCCATTTTATGCTAGCTTTGCCAACTTTGCTCAGGCTTGGCAGGAGTGAGATTTTTTTGTGTGGAGCACCAGGCTGCTACTGCTGCTCAGAGTAGTTCAAACAAGCGACAACAAAAACGAGAGATTTTATCATCAGATATTCATTATACAGCACCTTCAACCAATCCGTTTTGTTTGACCAGTCTCTTGTACTCTCTAATATGCTGTGTTACGTTTCATTAATTCATTCTGTCCTCATCCCCCTCCAATGGCACTGTGCTCTCTGATTGGACTACACTGATACTCAAGTTTATAACAGACAGGTTTTCTCTGCATTATTAATAAATATAGAAAAAAAAATTGCGTTATGTAAATTAGCATTAAAACATTCTTTTCTACTGAAGAGACTTCAACTAATCCCGGATTATTTCATGGATCCCGACATGACAGAATTTGATCAATTATTGCTTCAAGACCAGCAAAGGCTGTTTCAAAGAAAATACAGTGTGTACCATTGGAGAAAAAGTCATCCCCCAGCAATGGCACTGTGCCCCCTTAGGGAGCACGCCCCCCACTTTGGGAACCTCTGCATTATACAATGATGGTGGTGCAATTTTTTTTTTTTTAATTTTGCAAAAGTTAAAAAAGTTAACTGTCTAACATCTAACATCCACTAAAATATGTTAATATAGCTATTTCAGGCACGGGCAAACTAAGGCCCGGGGGCCGGATGCGGCCCGTTCAGCTTTTTAATCCGGCCCGCCAAGCTTTCCCAAATGATATAATTTATTTATATTATCATTATACGTCTATTGCCTGCAATACCCACATTTCCCCAATAGATGGCATAGAAAATGATAATAGCATTTTAGCCTTTATGCATGACTTTTACATGTCATTTATCTTAGTTCACATGAATTCTCCATCTATCTGCTCCTGACCCGGCCCTCCTGTTCAATTTTAGGTACAATTGTTGCCCGCGATCAAAAAGTTTGCCCACGCCTGAGCTATTTGCTAATATGCGAATATAGAGTTCACATTTTTATGGATAGTTTGTGTGATGATGTTTATTATTATCACAATCAGACTTTTTGTGTCATATTTGTTTTTTCTTACAACAGATCTGTTTCCTGATGACAGTGAATGTGATTGGCCAGCGAATGAACTTCTTGGTGATAGTCCATGGCTGTTGGTTGGTGGCCATCTTGGTGAAACGAAGACGTGCAGCCATTGCCAAAGTCTGGCCCAAATATTGTCTTTTCCTGTCCATCTTCATGATTTATCAGTACCTGTTGTGTGTGGGTATACCTCCTGCCCTCTGTATAGGTATGTTTGTATTGTTTCGCCCTTAACCACCTGCGATTTCTGCCCTAAACTTCTAAACAGTTCAAACTCAATATTCCTTAGTCATGGAATTACTGATAAAACATCACACAACCTTTCATTACCTGATGATGAAATGCAGTAAAAACGGTTTTGTGAGAATATGTGGGTCAAATATATGGTAGATGGATTATTGGATGGGTTATCATAGTTTGAAAACCATTGGCGATGTAATCCCAACTTTTTTTTTTTTTATAAAAAAAATGTTAACCATGCTATCTCTTTTTTATTGTATAACGACATGTATGCAGGGTAGGTCATACTGTTTACATGTGTGTTATACAAAATAAAGAAGGAATTCCACATGCATATTTGCAACTTCAAATAGCCGAAATGTCAGACCAGTAGAACCTGTTAATAATACAAAATATGTTAAACTTGACTGTTGCTATGGCTGTCAATAACTGTTGTGTATGTGCTGTTCGGCAGATTATCCATGGAGGTGGAATGCGCCAGTGCCGATGAACTCAGCTCTCATTAAATGGCTTTATCTGCCTGACTTCTACACTGTGCCTAACTCCAAAAACCTCATAGGTTAGTGTTGCACTGTTCATTCATTTATTCATTCATACATTCA